GAATTCGTTTTCTTTTTCATATTGTAGTGAAAGCCGATCCTGCTCCTCCTGTTATAACTTCAGGCAGCCACAGGGGGGCGCTCTAAACCAGCCTCTCATTCAACCTCACTGTTCAACTATCATCCTGCTCTCCCTTCCTTTCTTTTTCTCTCTCTCGTTTTCCACTCTTCCAATTCCAATTTTGTCAAATTAAAGATCGGCTTTAGAGTCACAGAGTGTAGCAAAAAAAATGTCTTTACATTTAGTACTCTAGTACGGATTCTTTCATTTTGTTTGGGTAGAACTTTACTCCTTCGCTTTATTTGTGATACACAATGCAACCTCATGTTTGTGCTTTTATTTTTCTTATTTGGAAATTTAAATTAGCTGATATTTGTATTTTCCAAATTTCTCATATTCTGGTCATAATAAATAGATGTTACACAAATAGCCTTTTCAGTGTCATTTGTAAACACCCAAATACATCGTGGCCTAGTCCAGGGGTGGCGAACTCCGGTCCTGGAGAGCTGCAGCCCTGCAGAGTTCAGCTCTAACCCTAATGAAAACTCACCTGCCTGTAGCTTCCTAGTAACCGTTCAGACCTTGATTAGCTTGTTCAGGTGTGTTTGATTAGGGTTGAAGCAAAACTCTGCAGGGCTGCACCTCTCCAGGACCGACGTTCGCCACCCCTGGGCCTAGTCCTATAATCGAGTTGAGTGTTTAGAGCAGGGATCCTCAAATCTGGCCCACAAGATCCACTTTCCTGCAGAGTTTAGTTCTAACCCTAATCAAACACACCTGAGCATGCTAATCAATGTCTTCAGGATCATTAGAAAGTCACAGGTAGGTGAGTTTGATCAGGGTTGGAGCTAAACTCTGCAGCGCATTGGACCTCCAGGGCAAGATTTGAGGAACCCTGGTTTAGAGTGTCTTTTACAGGGAACCCCGGGCATTAAGACTTATATGGCTTAAAATAACGTAAATGATGTATCTTACTGAAATAGGTAGTAGAAAACCCATGAAAGATTTACGTTATTTAAAAAATCTACAATTTTATACATATTCTGGACTATGGGGGCGCCATTATTTCAATGAAGTCAAATGGTTGCACTCGATCGGTGAGCTACTGGCGCTAGCTCTCTGGTGTTCATTTTACCGCAACACAACTCGGAATACTGATACGATGCCACATTGTGCGGCTTTTGGTTGTCATTTTCAGTCGAAGGACAAAAAAGTTAAGTTTTCACTGCTTCCCTTGCGATAAAAAGAGAAGAAAAGAATGGGAAGATATTAATAAATAAAACTTCCTAAAGACCCACGTCTTGTTCTCTCCACTTTAGCCCTGATGCCTTTGAGGCTTTTAATAGACCACAGCTACTGAAAGAGCTTACAAACAGCAGTGACAAGAAACACTGACTGAAAATGACAACCAAAAGCCGCACAATGTGGCATCGTATCAGTATTCCGAGTTGTGTTGCGGTAAAATGAACACCAGAGAGCTAGCACCAGTAGCTCACCGATCCAGTGCAACCATTTGACTTCGTTTAAATAATGGCGCCTCCTTAGTCCAAAATATATATAAAACGATGTGGATTTTTTTAAATAACGTACATCTTTCATGGGTTTTCAACTACACATTTCAGTAAGAGACATAATTTACGTTATTTTAAGACATACAAGTCTTAATACCCGGGGTTCCCTTTAAAAGTTGCTTCATAAAACGGAGTGAAAAAAGGCCAATGCTGAATCATGAAACACATTCCAGCATAATTTTCTAGGCCTGCTTAAAATACATGCTAAACCAATGTTCTGTTGGTGAAGCCTTGTTTTCAAAGCATCGCAGGTGTTTATATTCTTCAGAGAAGTCAGCTTAGTTTTAGTTGTTTGTCTCTTTACATTAAACTGGGATAGAAGTCAGTATTTTAACATTAGAACAATTGTAAGTTTACCTTCAAGTAGTAGCTTAGAATAAAAAGACTCTGTGGTCAGAAAAAAAAGGTTAAAGTCTGTCTGCATTTTATCCACGTCTCATCATAGCATAGCAAAGGATTGGTGAGAGGTTGCACATCCTCATGAGGATGGTGGAAATGTACCACATAAAAACATAGTACTTTTTAAGCTATTGAACTGATTGTAAAGGCATGCCAGAGGGTCCATGAATAAGATAAAAATAGCATCAATCAAAATTTAGAAATCAAATTAATTTACAGAAAAAAGCAGCTTGCACATACAGCTGTACATAATTCTGTAGGCTTCACACATATATATATATATATATATATATATATATATATATATATATACATATACACACATTTTACTTTCACATGAACTAAAACAGAAAAAAAGTCAGTAATAGTGATCCATAATTAACAAGGTTGATTTTTCTTTGTGTAGTCACTCGCCGCCAGGTTTTTCTAGAAAGAAGTACTTGCCATTTAACGTGTAACTACATTAACATACACCTGTCATTCAAAACCTGTATTGCCCCTCCATCATCTGAAGTGTATTCACAGTTGCATAGTTCTAGGTCTGTGTGTGTGAGAGAGTCTATAATATGGTAAAGTAATGTATCTGTCTGGTTAAATATCATATGTATCTACATGCTGGTTTGCGGGTTATGTGTGTGTGTGTGTGTGTGTGTGTGTGTGTTCGTATGTGTGTGTGTGTGATTTGTTAGATTTGAAGGCTCAGCAGCTTCTCCTTTTGTCTTCTTGCATGAACCACAGACAATCTGTCACAGAGAGAGAGATTAATATCTGGAGAAACAGGGGAGGGTGAGAGGAAAAGAGAGTTGACCGAGGTAGACAACACAGACAGACAGAAAGAGATATAGATAGATAGACAGATAGACAGATAGATAGATAGATAGATAGATAGATAGATAGATAGATAGATAGATAGAAAAGATGCATACATATATACGTATATAAATACATAGATATAAAGTTAAAGGGGCAAGAAAGTGAGGGAAAGAGACCGAACAATAATTTTTACTTAACGCTATTTTTTAAAACATGTGTTACACATACACAGAAATGTTCATATAAAGTAAAACAATGTCACATTATTAACTTTTCAGAAGCAAAAAACCTATACATAAACATTTGCGCGCACACACACACACACACACACACACACCCTTCGTCCTGGTAACAGTACATGTGGTTTTATTCAGGTCAGAGTGGGATTATGAAGCACTCAGGAGGGGTGGAGGGGTGGAGGGGTGGATGGAGAGAGAACAAGTGAGAGAGGGCATGAAAGATGGCACAGAGGAGAGAGAGAGAGACCTGTGAGTATGTTTAGATTTACTGAACTCCACATCTTTCACTGTCTTCATACAGGGATACTCATGAGAGATGAACATAAAGAAAAAAGAGGGAGTGAGCAGACAGAAAAAAAATGAATAAGAAGTAATGAGAGTACAGATGGAGAAGTCATATTAAATTGATCACGCTTAGTAAGTCCCAGTAGAAAGAACCATAGATGTTCATAAAATAAGATTGGAAACATTGTTTAAATTGACCCTGGTCAATTGCATTAAACACTGAATATTTATGGGTGGGGTTTTTTTGTTGTTGGTTATACTCTATGATAGATAGATAGATAGATAGATAGATAGATAGATAGATAGATAGATAGATAGATAGATAGATAGATAGATAGATAGATAGATAGATAGATAGATAGATAGATAGATAGATGGATGGATGGATGGATGGATGGATGGATAGATAGTAAAAGTACATACAGTGTATACTTTTACTAGTAAAAGTGAAACAATGGCTAAAAATGTGAGAAAGGGTTTAGAATAATTTATTTGTAAGTAAACCACTTGGTTTGGTATTTTGTACCTGATGCAGTGACACTGATGTGTTATTCATATATATATATATATATATATATATATATCACAGATGTGTTTTTTATATATATATATATATATATATATATATATATATATATATATATATGTTGTATATATGTTTTTATATGTCCGTGTATGTTACACTAAATTTTGGCAATCAGAAAATGTCCAGATGCTTTTTGTTTTAATTTTGTGAAAATGTTAAAATATCATGAAACCTAACTAGTATGTTGCAGGTTGAGTATGTTTGTGCTATATTGTTTTTTTAAAAGGCATTTAATGTGACATTTTGTTGTATAAACTAATGTGAAGACATTCATAATTTTTTTTAGATGTTAATGTCTAAAAAATTGGGCAAATGACTAACTCTAATACCGATTGTGGGACCAATAAACTGCGATAGATGAGGTAGGAATGATGGACTAGTCATAGAATAGTCTTAGCAGACAGAGAGGGAACTGAAATCAACAGGAGGAGATGCACCGAGAGGTGTGGAGGAGGGAAAGAGAGAGAGGGAGCTTCAGTAATCCTGTTTAATTGCTTTAGGGTAGTGTTCTGTCGACAGTAAGGAGATTGAGGTGCTCTCTGGGTCATTGGCTAAAATAACCCCACACACCCGGCTATATGGGCTACTCACCCTCACTCACCATCACAGCAACACGATTACCAGACAACACCATCGCAACAACTTTCTGGACCCCCAGATGCCTCCTCTGTGTGGGCCACCTGTGTATCCAAACCCAGGGTGTCACAGTGACTCCAGGAGAAGATAGTGGAATAATGTGAATCTTGCACTTCATATTTCTAGACCCAAAGTACTGAACTTTTCATCTGCTTTCAATTTAGTTGGTTAAAAATCAAGTTCATTACAGTTTGAATTGCCAGTTCCCTTTTGCTGATACCAGAAAATCCCCTATTAGAGGCATGAATGCATATTGAGTTTTCATTTTTAGTACTTATATTTATTAATTTAGATCTAGTCCTTATATATTTTTACTTCACATTTGGTAAAGTAACCTCTAAATTTGTCACCATGCACGCTTGTTCAGTGTGAGGGACAGACATGGCCCACTTTATATAAGTTCAGTTTTAAGGGATTTTTTCTCAAGTAAATCATTTGTTCTATGTGCTAATAAAATCTCCAGCCATGTTTTTATTAATGACAGTAGTGCTTCATCTTGCATAATCAATGAGAAACAGAGTTAGACAGCTCTTGTTAAACAAAGCCACATTTAATTGTGTAGTTAAACTAAGAGAAAAAAAATCTAACTTTTAATGTAGCTCCCATCTGAATGTATTCGGTCAAAGCAATATAACAACCATTGTAAACACCAAATTTTTTTTAACACAAGGTCACCCAAATAGAAAATATATATCAACAGCATGCATGTAATGCCATTAAATGAAGTTTAATTAGTAAGGATTAACAAACTAACAGAAAACAACATTATTTCTTATAAGTTAACATAATTTAACAATACATAAATAACAGCAAGCTAAAAGCACAACACAAGAACTTCTAATGCCTCTCAGTACAGACAAACCAAACTTATGAAAAAAGTAGAAAGAATTTTGTCCCATAAAGAGCTAACTGTATCTGTAAAGAAACCGAGAAGTTTCCCTCCAATTACCGTATGTGCTTGTCTTTGTGTGATATGTGTGTGTGTGTAGGTTTTAGTGATATTTACTTCAGTGTGTTGTGAAATATGTTCTAGTCTGTGTGTGTGTGTGTGTGTGTGTGAGAGAGAGGTAAATGGTTAATAATGATGACTGATCAGTAGACTTGAGGAGTCCTTTCACTCTCAGCCAATCACAGAGCAGGTCTGGATTACAGAGGAACAGTCTTCACCTGTTCCAAAATGGGCCCTTTTCCCTTCTGAGATCTGAGATTCCCTTCCCTTTTCACCTCTGAGATAATGTGAATCCTGCTGATTCAGTCCTGTTCATCATCTAAATGTCTCCGGCATTTCAAGAAATAGTTTAGAATCATTTATTCTTCATCCGTCTTCTCCTAATTCTCCTTCCCTCTTGTTCTTTTTCTTCACTTGCTCATTTTCTCTTCTACAGCACCTGGAATTTATGGTCGAGGCAGTCCATGGTACTGAAGTTGAGCTTCCAGGCCTGCTGGTCCTTGTAGTCCAGGCAGTCTATGGAACTGAAACCCAGCGAGGAGGTGCTGTATCCTTGGGAGGAGAGGGAGGGTGACTGGCTGAGCGAGCCGCCCATAGAGGGCACGGTGAGGGGAGAGAGGGCGCCCCCGCTTGCGGACAGCTGACTGGTCATGGGGGAGAGGTACGGGCTGCAATCTAATCCACTGAAATAAGGAGAGGAGCTGTAGCCCTGGCTATAAGTGGAGGGCTGACCATAGCTCATAGGATAGGGAGCAGGGCGATGCACACAAGGTGTGCCGGAGCCACACAATGGGTCAGGAAGGGGGGATAGAGAGGTGGGACTCCACACAGAAACTGGTGCTGTGCCTGTGCTGGCACTAGGGGGCACGGCAGGGGCAGAGGCAGCCGCCACTGAGGAGCTGGCACCAGGGTCAGAGGTCAGTTCAGAGGGTGGAGAGGACTTCTTTTTAGGGGGACGGGGCTTGGGCTGACCGCTGGTCTGCTGTTGCTGTTGGCGGCATTTAGCACGACGGTTCTTGAACCAAACCTGAGGGAAATAAGATGGTTAAGGGTGGAAATAAAAGTTTGCCTCATTTCGCTAAAGGTCAAAATGGACTTGCTTCTTTTATATACTGTACAAATCTCATGCTTGATTATCAGGCCTGCAATATTAATAGGCCTCACAAACATAAGACTGTCAGAATTGTGTTTCTTTTCAATACTTGAGACTCAACTATTTAAAATAGATTAAACTTCAAATGCACATATGGTGCATTATTTAGCTGAAGATGAATGGTTTACTTGCATCAAAGCAAATGAGTGTTAGATGCTGGGATTAACGTATTTTATTATACTTGAAATGAATGATCTGTTTCTGCTACCTAAGACATAATGCCATGTGTGTTTAGAATAATGTTAGGCAGTCTGAAAGGTGTCAGAGAGATGTTTGTCTCAGTTTGAGGCAGACAGGCTCACCTGAACTCTGGACTCTGGAAGGTTAATTTTCAGAGCCACCTCTTCTCGCATGAATATGTCTGGGTAGCGTGTTTTGGTGAACAAGGCTTCCAAAATGTCCAATTGGGTCCGTGTGAAGGTAGTGCGCTCCCGACGCTGCTTCCTTGGAATGGCTATTTATAAATACATTGACATTACACAGTAAGAAACAACTTTAAGTTTTTTCAGTTGAAAACAGGAATGTACATTTACAGTAAAAGAGAAAACTTTTTGAATTTAGATATAGATTGTATCAGTTTTAATTGTTTAATGTGAGCTTATAACAGTTAATAATATGGTTAATGTTGGTGAGAGAAGAGGGAGGGACTTGGACTATCCATTGTCAACTTACAACAGTGATAGATAGATAGATAGATAGATAGATAGATAGATAGATAGATAGATAGATAGATAGATAGATAGATAGAATTAGGGCTTTATTCATATTTACATTCTGAACCCATTAGTAGTACATACTAGTACTTCTTTATTTAGTACTAGTATGATAATTAATTTATTTTCAGCAACAGGGAACCAAACGCACAAATTTTAAAGCTAGAATTAAACCGTTCATAATTGGCTATAAAGTAACTTTACATAATAAACAAGCAAACACACGATCACACGATTAAATTAAAAAAATAAAATAAAAGAATCTTGGTTATATAAAATTTTATATAATTTTATTTAAAAAACTAACGTTTTTCAAAGAACCCTCAAGATGAATTTCAAATATACATTTTACATGGATTTTCAAATAGTTATTTTTTGTTAGAATGTGGGCAGTACGTTTGTCCAGTTAATGTGGCTATCAACTGGTTATATTATATTCAATTTACGTTGCTTAAATTGTAAGAAAAATGGGGTAGGCTAACTCATCTCAAATGAAACAGGAAAGATGAGGCTACCTTTCAGTTTTGCTTTCCCCCTCTCTTTTGAGTTCACTGACCACCAAAATTAATCAAATGTCTGACACAGACATGTTATAAATGATTAATACGAATGAACTGACCTGGGTAGCCGACGGCGGTGTGGAGCAGGTCCATTCCTGAGGCGGACAGCGTTAACCCGTTCACAGCATAATGGGGCTGCTTTATGTAGGACATCATTCTTGGGACGGCCGAGTCTCTCGCACACTCTCTCTATTGCTCTCTTTCTCTCCCTCCCTCTCTCTCCCCTCTCTCTCACTCTCTTTTTTCTCTGTGACGCTTTTTTTACGGGTCGGGGGTCGCGCTCTGCTCCTGATGGTCGCGTGTCTGTGCTGGCGCTTGGCGCGTGCGGTGCTCCTTCAGCCTCGCGCCTCTTCAAGCACCTGTAGATTCTTTCCCGCTTCTCAGTGTCTTGAACAAGCGTACCCTCTTGCCCAAGTTTAGCTATGTCATTAATAACGCCCTGAGTATCAAAGTTAAGCGTGCTCTTTTAATGTGAAGTAATAGTAAAAGTAAAGCCTATTCTCCACAAAAGTTTTAGACTCTATTTCAGAGTTTTGGCGTTGGTTAAGGAGCGTGTCCCTTGGGCAGGACCGGACAGGAGCGGGACACTATGAGCAATAAGACACCAAGCAGCTAATCAAGGGCCATCTCTCTCTCTCTCTCTCTCTCTCTCTCTCTCTCTCTCTCTCTCTCTCTCTGTCTTTTCACGTGTAGCCTTTCTTAACACGTGGTATGACAATAGACATATTTATTTGACTTAAAATGTAAGGTAAAAGTGCAAAATTAGTAGATTATGATGGGTTGTCTGATTGGGTCTGGTCTGGTTATGACATAACCGTTCGATTTTCGAACGGTTTGTTTAAACTATAAAACAATTTATTTCGTTTTTTATTTTGAAACCAATATAGTAGCAAATAAAAATTGTAAAGATATATCGAAAAATGGAGAATATTGCCTTTAAAAAAATGAACAAGGATCCGGGCAAAAAAAGGCCGATGTCTCCAAATGCCGCAGATATTTAAAATATTTAAAATGTTTAGATATTTGTAAAATATACTTATAATATATTTAACTGTATTATAAATAGATTTTAAAATGTTGTGTATATGGTGTTTTAATTAAAACGTCCCCCCCCCCATTATATTATCTGGGTCTGCGTGGTTTTAGGAACCGTAGGAACCATTAGTTGATTCATTTGAAGCAAATGTGATACGCCTTAAATGAGATGTTTTAGAAAAATGGGCCCTCACAGTAAATATACCCCTGAAAATCAATTTCAGGGGGCAGAAATCGTTCCCTAATAATAATAATAATATAAAACATTAATTTTATTTCTATTTTATATAGCCTAGGCCTATTCTATTTACAAATTGTGCCGAAGCTATTAACCATTAATTCCACATGAATAGAGTGTTTTTTCTTCGTATGTTGATTGGCGCTGCGCAATCGTTCCATCTTTAAAGAAACCACACTATAATAGTTTAAATGTCAGATATTAGACGAAAGTGTCATTTGAATCTCACAAATAAGACACTGAAATTTAATTCGTTCATCGAATGTGTTTGTTGTTTCCGGTTATTAATATTAATATGTAAGAAAAAATTTCTTGTGGACATTTTCTTGCTCAGTCCTGTTAACACTTCTGCATAACAACATGTATAATATAAATAACTTATTTTTTAATTTATCCTTTATTTGTATATCTGTTACTTCATTGCAACTACGTGATTAACTTAAAATCCTTTATCATAATTTATTGACTGAATACAAAACATAAAAGCAGCATAATACCACTAAAAGATTTGACTCAATAACATTTGGCATAATAATGATTTGTAAAACATCTCAAATTTAGTGTTACTCTTGACACTTTATTTTTGACCAGACACACATGCATACACACAGTTATGAATTATCATAATATGCTTTGTGTGAATAGTCCCTTAACCTAAAGAGAGGAAAGAGAGATTTCTCATCAGGAGGGAAGAAGAATAGCTGGAAGTTAAGAAATGTGTGGATAAATGAAGAATAAAACAAAACAAAGACAGAATATTATCTTGACCAGTGATGGAGGCCTGATTAAAGAAGAAAGGATAACAGCCATATGTAAGGTTGTTGACCAGTTCTGGTCTAAGCAGGAAAGGATCCATATTCGCTGTATGGAGCTATCTGAAAATGTCATTAAAATGTATTATAGAAAGAAAAAATGGAATGTTTTATTTGAAAGTATTATGTGTTTGAGTGTAAACATGTTAGTGAGAGAGAGAGAGGGAGAGAGGCTAGGAAGGCGTTAAAGGGCACTCAAGATGAACTGAGTGTGATAGGTTGCCTTAAAACAGATACAGTGCAGACAGGGTTATTTGGCTGTGACTGAGGTAGATGTCATTCCTCCTAAGTACAGCCAAGGAACAAAGGGCAACAAAGAATCTTCATATTCCCTTAATTATTATGACAAGCTTTTCTCTAAATGACAAAAATATACTTGTATTATCTTGCCTAAAGATGTGCATGTATTGAATACAAGAATGAGAGACTACAATTTTCGACTGTATTTGGTGACAAAAAGCAGCAGAAGATTTGCTTTGAATTCTATCATCTTGCTTTACCACATACAAGTAAATAATTAATTTTTCTTTTTTTAAAGGTAATTTGAAAAAGAAATATGAGATGGAAAGACAGCTCAGTTGAGTGGTCAGATGTTAAGAGGAAATGCAAACCCCGTTCTTATTCAGAATCAGGATTATTTTGCGATACATATATACAAATAACGTTTTTAAAAAGCATTTATATTGGTGGGCCTTCACCTTATAAACTCAATAATGTAGAAAAAAACTTCCAGTCGTCCACCCCTTTAATCAGCCTCTAACCAACGGTTCTCAATAAAAATGATTTAAAAAATGATAATAAAACGATAATAAAAATTTGAATATATATATTGTAATATTTTGTGAAATATGTAAGTAAAGCATTGACAAAGCTACAATTATTTCGTTTGTCAAATTTCAGGACCTACAAATGTGTGTATATATACTATTTATATATATACACACTATTTATACAATTTCAAAGCTCTATAAGCAGGTTTTATAAGTAGTATTTCTTAGAATTAATGAGAGGATAGACAATATCTTTTCCAAACAACAACTGTTTTTTTATATGTTTGTCTTTTTACTTAGATTACTAACTAATAATAAGTCTAGTTTTCTTGTAATTTTTTAATCATTTGCTCAGATTATAAAACTGTAGAACATGCCTGTATTTCAGTGGTTGTTATTGTTGTTTTGTGTAAAAGCAGTTTAAAAAAAAAAGAGACAATTTATTGTTGTTGCTCTGTGTCAGTGTAAGATGTTTGTATGTTTATGTGTGCGGGATCTAGGCTTGTGTGCTTGCAGAAGGGGAAGTTTGTGGTGGTGGAAGGGTGGTGCAGTGGGGGTGGGGGGACCAGTCCGTCCATCTGGCAACAGCCAGCTACGCAGGCACAAGAGCAATTATGGAAGTGGACTAAACTTTAATCCGCAGGCACACACACACATACACGGCCGACACAGTGACGCTGCAACAAACATTTAATCTGAGTGAAGAGTTGGATAGATGAAATAAACAAAATGTTCCTATGCAAATAGACGTAAAGGAAGGAAAAATGTGAAGATGGATTGGGGTGAAGGAGGGCGAGTGAGGTGACAAATAGAGAGAAAGAAAGAGAGAGGGGGAAGGAGGGAGGGAGAGAGAGAGAGGGGTAGTGGGCCGCATCATTGCAGGCACACTGCATCAGTTAATCCAGATTAGGCAGTCTAAAAAGGAGCGGCTTAATCTGCAGGCCAGCCAGTAATACACAGACCGCTGTCAGCACCAATCACTCACACGGTTCTAATCCCCAAAGAAACGCACACGCCGGACACACGCACACATACACACACGCTCTCTGAACAATGTGTGTTAAGCATGCATATATAAAATATTTCTGCACAATCAAACAACAGATACATCCAAAACTTTGAATCTGTGCTAAATATGTGTACAAAACTTTTTCCAACTGTAATCCCTCACAAAGTGAGTGATAGTAATCACTTTATAATACAGGTATTTAAAACAACTGCTGAGCAATTTCTAATGCAGTGTGTAGATGTGTTTCTATTGGAAGATGTTGTGATGAGGCAGTTACTTTCTGATAAGGAAAATAAGTCCCATTGTGGACAGACTTTGGGTCACAGATTAAAGGGGTTTTAATGTCAGTGGGGCTGTATGCTGAGGGCCCCAATAACTGCTTGACAGCTTGTCTGGCCCTCTAGTGGAGATTCTGTCCATTTATCTTGATTCGATTCAGTTCAGTTTAGTTCACGTCAAGTTTTGGTTGATATGACAAACAAAAGTTTACATTTCCAGTGCATACACACAATAAAGGTAATACAATTCAGTAAGTTATTGATTTGTACATGAATGTGTGCAAGTATTGTATCTAAATGTGCAAAATGTAATGAAATTGATTGAGTGTTTGTTTGTGTGATTTTGACTTGTTTTATGTCCAATAATTCAGTATGTTTTCCATTCATTTGAGTAACAAAATTTAAATAGTATCTATTAATATTAATTAATTGATGTCTAATCTAGTTAATCTAATCTGTGTCCCTTTGGAATATCATACATCAGAAGACGGATATTTAGTTATGCAAAATCATACGTTTAGATTGCCTTTGTGATCATACTACTCATTTGAATATAATTTAATTAAGGCTTTCAGCATTTAGCCTAACAAAATAAGTATCTTTTTCCAAACTACAAATTATGATGTTGTTATGGCTTAATTAACTTGTAGCATTTAAAACGATATAGCCTACAGAATTGTCGCCCAGAGTTTTTTATTCAGTTGTAATTCACACTGCCAAATGAAATATTGTGTTTTGAATTTGTGGTATAGTTCATATTTTTCATATGTATACAGGCACATTTAGACAAAAGCATACATGATTAAAAGTATAGGGTTAAATAAACAAAGTTGGAATGAGTTAATGAATGTAATTTCGCCCCCTGTAGGGAGGACACATTTCTTCTTCATCCGAAACAGAAATAAATTATTAACACTGTAGCATTAGCCTCCCACTGGTTTCAATTTATTGCATCTCAACCACCTACTGAAAGAATTAGACAGAAAGGCAATGAGCAAGAAACAAACTGGTGTAAAATATTTGCCCTTTCTCACAGTAAGTGTTGATATCATTGTCGGCGACAGCTGATGACGACACCTTCATGTCGAGATCTCTGTTCCCTCTCATAGGTAACTTCAATGCTGCGATGAAGTCATTGCTTTGGGAACACCTCCGGTGTGATGAATGTCTGAAGCCCTTATACCATCACGCCAATTTATTGGCCAATAGCGCTTAGCACCGTCCCGAGCATTCGTCACATTGATCATATATTTCATTAGATTTTAATTCCTTCAGGAAGCGAATCATCTGTTGCCCATGGAAAGAGATTCTTGTGTTCTAAGCCATCTATTTATATAGAGTTTACTCCTCTAAGGCGGACACAATGAGTTTTCCGGTATGTATGAATGCATGTTACACGGACTCACGAGGAAACAGGTAGGAAGACCGCTTTGTGGCCTTTATATATTGTTGTATCCGTGATATCTGTGTTTGTGAGTAA